GCCCGTTATATAGAGTCGGCGGCCCTCGCGCGTGCGCACAGCACCCCGGCCGCCGCCGCGCGCTGGGAAGGCGGGAAGGGGAACTCGCCCCCTTCCCCCTGTTTCCATAGTAACATGCCAAGGTCGCGAAGTTGTCCCAGCGGGCGGGGACGGGAGAACTTCCGGCCGCGTGCGGGCCGCCGCCGGGGGCTGGGAAGGCGGGAAGGGGAACTCGCCCCCTTCCCCCTGTTTCCATAGTAACATGCCAAGGTCGCGAAGTTGTCCCAGCGGGCGGGGACGGGAGAACTTCCGGCCGCGTGCGGTGTGGGCGGGGCGCCGGGCAGCTACGCGGGCAGCAGGAGTCCCCTGGCTATAGCCTGTAGAGCGCGCCTGGGGCATGGACCCTATAGCACCTCCCTGGGGCGTGGACCCTATAGAGCCCCCCGGGGCATGAGGGGCCCTATAGCACCTCCCTGGGGCATGGACCCTATAGAGCCCCCCTGGGACATGAGGGGCCCTATAGCACCTCCCTGGGGCATGGACCCTATAGAGCCCCCCTGGGACATGAGGGGCCCTATAGCACCTCCCTGGGGCATGGACCCTATAGAGCCCCCCTGGGACATGAGGGGCCCTATAGCACCTCCCTGGGGCATGGACCCTATAGAGCCCCCCTGGGACATGAGGGGCCCTATAGCACCTCCCTGGGGCATGGACCCTATAGAGCCCCCCTGGGACATGAGGGGCCCTATAGCACCTCCCTGGGGCATGGACCCTATAGAGCCCCCCTGGGACATGAGGGGCCCTATAGCACCTCCCTGGGGCATGGACCCTATAGAGCCCCCCTGGGACATGAGGGGCCCTATAGCACCTCCCTGGGGCATGGACCCTATAGAGCCCCCCTGGGACATGAGGGGCCCTATAGCACCTCCCTGGGGCATGGACCCTATAGAGCCCCCCTGGGACATGAGGGGCCCTATAGCACCTCCCTGGGGCATGGACCCTATAGAGCCCCCCTGGGACATGAGGGGCCCTATAGCACCTCCCTGGGGCATGGACCCTATAGAGCCCCCCTGGAGTATGAGGGGCCCTGTAGCACCTCCCTGGGGCATGGACCCTATAGAGCCCCCCTGGGACATGGGGAGGAGGCCGGCCCCTATAGAGCTCCTGTGGGGTATGGAGGGGGCTGAATGGCAGTAGGGCTATGTGGGGCTGGGACTCATTAAAGCCACTCTTGGGTACAGGGGGTCCTGAGCCCCAATAGAGGGAAGGGGGACGGGCTGGACTGCAGTAGCTGGCAGGGGGAGGAGGTGGCTAGCCTCAGTACAACTCACAGAGGCATGGGGGGGAACAAGGGATTCCACTAGACTAGAGCTAGGTGGGGGGAGGCTTCAGTGGCCCATGTAAAGTTATGCATGTGCTTGAATAAATATTCCCAGGAGGGAGAACCGAGTCATTTTTTCAGCCATGTTCTGTACTTTCTTAACAGCTTCTTTCTGCTAGTTCAGGTTTGTCTGGACAGAGACTCTGCTCATGTAGTTGTGTTGGGGTGATGAGGCCTGAGGCCATACAGATCCAACAGCAGAACATGGACTTGAGTCCTAAATGGGAACTTCTGTCTTTGACACATATGAAGAAATTCTGGGCATCCTGTGTCATGGCTTGAAACGGGGCACTTCAGAGTCTTGTACAATGTGCTGCGATCAGTTATGGAGCATTACACATGTAAATGTCTCCTCACTGGGTCAGTGTCTTACATAGTGAAAAGCACTCTCTTATTTCATGTTCCAGAGAACGTTATTTAACTTAAAAAAATCATTTTGGAACTGACAATGAGCAAAAGGGCAGGGAGAGGGTCCAGAGTGACCTAGACAGATTAGAGGATCGGGCCAAAAGAAATCTGATGAGGTTCAACAAAGACAAGTGCAGAGTCCTGCCCTTGGGACAGAAGAATCTCAAGCATTGGTACAGGCTGGGGACCGACTGGCTAAATTGCAGTTTGGCAGAAAAGGCCCTGGGGATCACAGTGGATGAGAAGCTGGATATGAATCAACAGGGCGCCCTTGTAGCCAAGAAGGCTAATGGCATATTAGGTTGCATTAAGACAGGCATGTCCAAAGTCCGGCCTGCGGGCCAATTGCGGCCCGTGTTCCGGTTTAATACGGCCCCACAGGTAATTTGGCAATATCTATCTTTTATGGCCCCCAACGAATCCATATGTATTGAGATGAATACATTGTAAAATCTCAATGTCAGTTGGTCTAAATCAGTTATAAATATATTTGGACACAACATGTATACTTGGTGTTATGTTCCTGTTCATATTTTTTGAACTTAAAAGTTGACAGACAACCTTTATTACCAATAATATGTAATGTACTTTACAATGTTCCTGACGTATATTTCAGCTTCCTGGATTTTTTTTTCATCTGGCCTTCAGATATGAAAGGCAGAGTGATTTAACACCTGTTTAGATTTGTCATCCATGTGACGAAATGAAAAGTATGCCGTTTGCAATAAACTTTGCATAAAATAGTTAATTTGTGTTTAATTTTAATGGTTCAAAGAATGTCAGGCAAAATGGTCGGCCCTCACGCATGTTCACTTCATAAAATCTGGCCCTCTTTGAAAAAAGTTTGGACACCCCTGCATTAAGAGGAGCATTGCCAGCAGATCCAGAGATGCCATTATTCCCCTTTATTCGGCTCTGGTGAGGCCACATCTCGAGTATAGTGTCCAGTTCTGGGCCGCCCACCATAGAAAGGATGTGGACGCATTGGAGAGGGTCCAGCAGAGGGCAACCAAAATGATGAGGGGGCTGGAGCACATGACCTATGAGGAAGGGCTGACGGATTTGGGTTTGTTCAGTCTGCAGGAGAGAAGAGTGAATAGAGGATTTGAGAGCAGCCTGCAACTTCCTGAAGGGAGGTTCCAAAGGGGATGGAGAGAGGCTGTTCACAGTAGTGACAGATGGTAGAACAAGGAGCAATGGTATCAAGTTACAGTGGGGGAGGTCTACGTTGGATATTAGGAAAATCTATTTCCCTATGAGGGTGGGGGAAGGACTGGAATGGGCTCCCGGGGGAGGTGGTGGAATCTCCATCCCTAGTAGTTTTTAAGACTCGGCTTTACAAAGCCCCAGCCAGGTTGATTTAGTTGGGATTGGTCCTGCCTTGGCAGGGGGCTGGAGTTGATGACCTCCTGACATCTCTTCCAACCCTATGAAACTTTTGATCTTCTGTCAAGTACAAATCATGCCAAACCAACCTAATTTTTGACAGGGATGGTGGGGCACTAACAACACTATCAAAGTAGGAAATTAGGTTAGGAAATGTATGGAGCTTCAGTTTTCAGCTATTTGTTCTTATGTTTTTTCTGATAAATTAAAGCCCTTTCAGGTCTGATATTTCTCCTGTGAAGACACGTATCCAGTGTAATCAAGTCACCTCTCTCACTATGCAGTTCATTCAGATTAGCCCTGAGGGTCAGCCTACCACAGGGGGACAGTCTCACAGCTCAGCCAGTGACCATGTCCTCATTGGTGTTGCACTCATATATGTGTCAGCAGGACATCTGGGGCACATCTTTTGGTTCTTTATTGTGCAGTAAGCTGGGTCACTCTGATTTTTTCCAGGTGAGCAGGGGGAGAACTGGTCTGTCCCAGGCACAGAGATGGACTGTGGAAATGCACTGGAGGACGGTCAGCGCTCAAATGAGTTAGCCTATCTCCTCACTGCAAAGTGGGCCCATTTCCAGCCCAAATGAAAGCTGCTCCAGCCTGTAGCCCCAGCCAGCACAGGTGCAAAGCAATGCTTAGGCCATATCTCCTGAGCTGGAGGGTCCATGCTCTGGTGATCAATCCTCCTAAGTTTGATTTAACAGATCCAGTAGAACCGCTAATCTCAACACCAAGGGCACCCGTTGGCACCAGTACTCCTTGCTATCACACGGAATGAGGCAAGTTGATGGGCACACTTCTCCTGTTTGCCACCCACTGCGGGTCAGTGCAAGCTACACAATTCATGTAGCCGGAGTTGTGTACCTTGCATCAATTTTTCTCTGCCAGTATAGACTTGGCCTCAGCTGAGGTAAAAGGGGTGTGTGGGTGGGCGTGTGTGAGAGAGAGAATGGGAGGCAGGTCAGGGCATTATCTGGGTGAGAGCCTGGGCTAACATTGCCATGACGACTCCAGAGGGCATTCTGTGCCAAAAACTTGAAAGTTCTGCACAAGGTATTTTAAAATCCTGCAAGTTTTACTTGCAGAATAAACCCAGACACTCTGGGTGCAAGTTTTATTTGTTGATAAATAAATGCACCAGTCCCTGGCTGCACAAAGGTGGAAGATCCCGGTGCAGCCTCCCCACCCCCAGGACATGGACTCAGCAGCGAGGCTACACCCTGCATCCATCCCTGACACGAGGCCTGTGCCTGCCCCAGGAACATCCTCGCATAGGGCCATGTCCTTCTGGCAGATGCACAGGATGGGGTAGGCAGGCTCAACCAGGCAAGATCCAAGTGTGAAGGGCTCTCTGTTAGCCAATCTGGGTGCAGGTGGCACAGGGGAGGAGTCTCGGTGTGGGGGGGATCTGGATGCACAGAGGCTTATCAGCAGGGTTTCATGTGCAGGGGCAGTGGGACTCTTCAGGGACTGATGGCTGAAGTTGGTTGGGACTCAGCAGAGGGGTCTGGGTTTGTGGGTGTCAGTGGAGGGGTCTGGATGTGGGGGCTCAGGTTTGGGTCATGAGGGATCTAGAAGGACAGGGGCGACTTGGCAGGGATGTTGAGGTATGGGAGGTCCAGATGCAAGAGAGTTAGGGGAGCAGCTCTGGGGAGAGATAAGGTGTGATGGGGGTTGGAAGCAAGAGAAGTTGCTGAGCTTCTTGCTTCCAGGGGAATTTTCTGGGTTGGGGCTGACAGTCCCAGTCACTCCTTGCAAGGGAAGAGGAAGTCCCCTCCCCTCCTGCCTCCAGCCCGGCTGGGCCTAACAGCTGATTCTAGCTCAGGGTGGGAATCCCTGCTAGAGGGGATTTATCCTTCTGCCGGATGCTACAGGTGCCTGAGAGGATGCAGCTGCACTGCCAGGGAGTGGTGCCTGACTGCTCCTGCAGCTTCCCCTTCACTTCCAGGAAGGCTTTTTTCTGCAGGGAAGCAAAGAAACCTGCACAGGTTATCAGTTCTGTGCAGGAGTGGTGCAGAACTTCCCCAGGAACAGAAGACATAACCTCAGTCTTCTTTTAGATAAACTAGACAAATTGGCCTCTTGGAGTCTCTTATTGGACAGCATTTTCTCCAACCTGAGTTCTGTTTTGGGGCCCTTCTGCACCCTCTCCAATTTTTTTAACTTTTTAAAAACTTGAACCCAACTAGACATAGTTCTCCACTATTGGTCTCCTCCGTGCCACATGCAGAGGTACAATCAACTCCCCCCTCCTACTCACTGCCCTATTTACACATCCAAGGGTCACAGTAGCCCTCTTTGCCACAGAATTGCCCTTGAAGCTGATGTTGGGTTGCTTGTGCGCTATGACCCCTAAATCCTTCTCAGAGGCACAACTTTCTGCAGGGATGGCCTGCATCCCATGTCCAGTGAGGTATAATTCTGCATGTGGCTGTATTAATTCACCTTTTGTTTGACTGGCACCGGCTTTCCAAGCAAGCCAAGTCGTGCGTATGACTGTCCTCTCCTCCTCAGAATGTACTCCACCTACGTGTAGGAATCCACAGGTAGGAAGAGAGCAATTAGAGGTGGACACAGAAGTGAGGGACTCTGCCAGGCAGACAAGTGTCCCATGAGACAGTGGTTTTAGATAAAGAAGAAGGATTCCACAGACTAACATGTCATTTGTACCAAATAGCGATTTTGATAACATTATAGTAGGTAGCACAAACCCTCCCTGCTTCCAGCTCTACAGCGGTTCCACCATCTAGTCCCTCACAAACAGAACGAGCCGGAGCAGCTAACGCACAACAGCACCCTCACTCCTGTCACCGAAGAGCAGGTCGACCAGGACCAGAGAACAGCTCCTAACTGAAGGGGAAAGGCATCTCCCCGTGTGAAACAGAAGAGTTTTAGACAAGCAGTGTCTGCCCACTTGTCCATTACTGCTGTGCTGCAAGATGGCCTTGGATCAAGCTCTGGACTCTGGACAGAATAATTTCATTGGAGCTGCTGCAGTCTTCTGGCCCGTATGGCGGGTCGACAGTTAAGACACCGGCCACACACAGTGTTCTTTGTGACTCGCCTTGTTCTGTGACAGGGATGTGATTGGACTCCAGCCAAGTCTTCAGGCTGCTCTTCCTCTTCTCCAGTTCTTCATGGCCAAAAGCTTTGCTCTCCTCCGGCATGAATAGGCGAGCAAGCCGCTCCTTCACTTCATCATCCCCCTCATTCACTATTTCAACTGTCTGTACAGCATGACCCAAGATGGCGGAGACAGAAACTTTTCCATCCTCCAGGAGCTTCACTAGAACAATACTGCCAAGAAAGAGCACAGACCATTCCATAAAAGTCATTAAGTAGGAAAAGAGAGTGAGAAATCTAAGTTACGTTGTTCAAAAATGGGTGTTTAGAATGTAGCTCATAAATACATAACCAGTTTGCCGAAATTGGAGTTCTCATTAGAAGTCACTTTAAAATCATGACACAATCAGGCAAAATTCAGACACCTGTTTTTGAAAATCTTGGCCCTCCCCTATGGTCTATTTGCATATACACGCTATGCAGTGCATGGCAGAATATTCCATGCAAAACAAGAACACTCATACAACAAAGCTAGGGTTGGGAAATCAAATATTCTAGAGACAGGCTGCAAGTGCAAACTTGACACAGGGTTCCTGAGTGCCCAGGATTATTATACCCTCATTTTTAACAACTTGAATGTTGAAAGCCAGAAGCTAGAATTCCCCACTGTAATTACCATGCAGTGACATGTAGTCAACTTATCCCGTTAAGGTGTTTGCAAAAGAGGGGAGATTCTGTCTGTTCGTGATATAAAAGGTGCCAGAATGCTTTTTGTGGGGCGGTTGTTTCTGCACTGGAAAAATCAGGTCTCATTTCCCCTGGAAGACTCGCTGTGTAACTAGCCGTGCAGAGGAAGGGCACCACTGCAGCCAGACATGGTACAGCCGGAGACAATGTCTGCTCTGTGTACCTTCCCACTGCACACCACTGTAAGGTGCACAGCGTAGTCTCTATTGCTGGGAGAGCGCTCTGCTGGCAACAAAATAAGACCACCCCAAACGAGGGACACTCGCTTCATCAATAGGCGAGTGGCTCCTGCTGATAAAGTGACCACACAGGCGCTTTTTGTTGTAGTTCGGGGGATGTTTTTCACACCCCGAGCAACAAAAGTTTTCACAATGAAAGTGGAGTTTAGATATGAGCTGAGCAATTGCAGTGGAAGGAATCCAGTGCAGACTCCACAAGGTGCGAGAGGGCCCCGCTACACTAGACAGTGACACAGATGCATCAAGATCTCTAAAGGGAGTTCTCCTGTTGGCTGAACGTACTACAGTCCCTGCAGCAGCATCAGCTACATTAACAGAAGCTGTCTCCCCAATGCTGTGCTCTGCACAGCCGCACTTCTGTGGCTGTAGCTTCCGTCACCCAGGGAGGCGACTTCTCCCTTTGAGGGACGCCGGCAGGAGCTGTAGCGTAGACACAGCCTGAGGCATTGCCATGCTGAGCATCCTAGTGCATAACTTCCAGGTGCCTAGAAAAAAACACCATGAAAACAATGGTGCAATCTGCAAAGCCTGAGGCAGACACTAGGCTCCCTATACGATCAACCAGGAGAGACGGGAGTCTCTGAATGTGATCCACAATAGCCAGCGTGCTAGGCAGGTCCTGCTCTAAGCCAGCCAATAGGAGATGCTGACCAGAGAGGTGTGCTAAGCCCCATTCCTCCCTTCAGGAAAAGGTGCCTACGGCTTTGGTCTGCACTTGTCAACTAGGGACTGCTTCTCAGAGACAGGCAGTAAACACACCCAGGCTTTGTCTACCCTGGCAAATGAACGACAAAACTTTCATCGCTCACAGGAGCCAAGTCCTCCCTCCCCTAAAAGACAAGTTTTCCCCCACAAGTGCCCGTGTGAACGGCAGGCTCTCAGCCGGAGCATTCTCTTGCTGAGAACACAGTGCAGCTAGCTGGGGTGCGTGTGGGGGGATTTTTCCACAGTGCCACTCTGAATAACTAACTAGAGGGGGATTGGAGTGGGAGGCGAAGAGAGGACCCTGGATCTCCTAACTCTGGTGCCTGAAGCACTGGGCTATAGAGTCCCTGTCCCTCTATCTCTATCTCCAGCCCACTATAGAGCTGCACAGAGTCACGGGGGGAAAGTGGGAATGATTCTGTCCTGCTGTGCTTGGGGTCTCAGCCTGAGTCCCATACCCCTACTCCACTATTTATCCAGAGCGGAGCAGCTTCAACAGGGTAGACTGAGCGGACCCCATCTCACTGCCCTGTAATCCAGCAGCTAGAGCACTCGGCGGTGAGAACCTCCTGTTCAAATCCTCGCCCCCCCTCTGCCAGTGGGGGGAACTGAACCGAGGTCCCACATCTCCTGCGAGTGCTCTAGCCTCCAGACTAAGTTATAAGGGGGTGGGGCATCACCAACACCTCCTTCGGCCAGGCTGCCAGTGGAGCTGAGCTGGCAGCCAACCCCTGCACACACCGACTGAATTGTGCCCTGCCCATGAGGTAGGAGTTGGACGCTTCTCTCCTGCCAGTTTGTGAACTGCTCTGGGGCATAGGTCAGACAGAGGCATCTGGCAACAGTGCCCATGCCCAGCAGCAGAAGGGAACCTTTAGGGCCTGTGGAGTTTGGAGGAACCAAAACTGGGATTTCGGTGTCTAAACCCCAGACATAGGCACCTGAGTACCTTTGTGAACCTGGGTCTTGCTCAAGTAGCAGAGCGCTAGCCGTGTTAGTCTCAATCTGCAAGAACAGCGAGAAGTCCTGTGGCACCTTATAGATTAACAGATTTATTGGAGCATAAGCTTTCGTGGGCAAAGACCCACTTCATCAGATGCGTGTGACAAAGTGGGTCTTTGCCCACGAAAGCTTATGCTCCAATAAATCTGCTAAATATTTATAGTGCCACAGGACTACTCGCTGTTTTGGGTCTTGTTGTTAACAAAGAACAAGTTTTAAACACCATTCACCTCAGTTCTGGCCCGCAGCTGAGGGTAAAAGATCTTTGTGACTCACTCAAGCCCTGGACCCGCTAGTTACTGGCTCAGACTGCTCCCTTCCCAGCTCTGATCTCCTGAGTCCCACCACACCCACAATGAAGAAAATACTTGATTGTTCTAAGACAAATGCTAAAATGACAGATGCTATTTTCCTCTTTGCCAGCTACCTGGCAGGTGAATTCTGTGCTAGCACGGACACAAGCTAGAGTCATTATCCTCCGAGTAGGCCAGTTTCCTGGGAGATGCCCGACTAAAGAAAATAGCCTGGTTTAGCCTGGCCCAATGACATGTTCTGGGATAACTGAAATTTCTACAGCCCCTTTCATACAAACTGCTTTACAAAGGATACAGACACAAGACCACAGGATTGCAGCCACCTTGACAGGGAGAACAGTCACCCAAGGACACAGGACGCCCACTCCCCCCCCCCCTCCCACCCGCCTCAATTATTTCTCAACATATACAGACCCAGAGCAGCAGACTTTCAATTCCCAGGTAAATAATTCAGGGTCTTTACACATCCTGTCCCCTCTCAAACATCCTTTCTTTAGTTAAAAACACTTTGTTTGGATATAAACATCCCCTTGCAGTGTTGTCTGCCTAAAATCACTTGTGCCAGCCCATGAGAACAGTAAACAAATGTATCTACTTCCATTGTCCACAAGTGAAATATAAAATGATTTTTTAAAATTTGCTTTTCATTATCTGCAGTCTCAACTGTGGTCTGCATTGTTGCAAATGAGTTCACCAGATGGACTACAACACAGGACTGGTGACATGTAACAGGAAAATAGGCTTTTTAAGGTGCTAAGATCCCTTTAATATTTCCCCTTGGCTTTCTCTTGGATGTGATCAAGGTCAAATGCACTCTATGGTTAAAACCAGCACTGCAGAGAAGTAGTGATGATGTCTGCTGAAAATCCACAGCAAAACTGGTATGAATCAAGATCAACCTAGCTCCTGGGTTCCATCTGTCCCCCAAGCCCTGTCTCGCAAGGAAAATGACCATTAGAAATCATATGAATGATCCTCATGACTCCTCCCCTCTCTCACTCCTGCCTCACCAGGTAGCCCAGATACAGAATTATGGATCCACGTCCATACGCCATTTCTGCACCAAACATGTTTGCTCCAGGTGAGCTTCTTCAGTCTTTCCCTGTCAAATCACCATTCTCTTCGTTATGAGTGAATCACAAGTTTGTACTTACTTCGCAGAAACTGGGTCAATTGTTAAGACCCATCCTTTGTATTCATGTTTCTCAGCAGCTGTGACTTTTACTTCTTTGTTCACGTACGTCTGCCAGTCCAAAGGGTTTTTCCTCTGCCAGTCACTCATACTGCCCACTCACTGAACCTAAAAAGCAAACAGTGTACATGAGAACATAAGAACAGCCACAGTGGGTCAGACCAAAGGTCTATCTAGCCCACTATCCTGTCTGCCGACAATGGCCAATACAGATGCCCTAGAAGGAAGGCTCACAACAGGTAAACCTCACACGATCCCTCTCCTGTCATCCATTTCCAGACAGAAGGTAGGGGCACCATTTTACCTATCCTGGCTAATAGCCATTGATGGACCTAACCTCCATTAATCTATCTAGCTCTTTTTTGAACCCTGTTACAGTCCTAGTCTTCACAACATCCTCTGGCAAAAGCGACGAGGAGTCCTGTGGCACCTTATAGACTAACTGAAGTGTAGGAGCATAAGCTTTCGTGGGCAAAGACCCACTTCATCAGATGCATGCATCTGACGAAGTGGGTCTTTGCCCACAAAAGTTTATGCTCCTACACTTCAGTTAGTCTATAAGGTGCCACAGGACTCCTCGTCGCTTTTGCCAGAGGATGTTGTGAAGACACGGCTACCCCTCTGATCCTCTGGCAAGGAGCTCTACAGGGTTGACTGTGCACTGCATAAAGAAAAACTCCCTTTTGTTTGTTTTAAACCTGCTGATCCTTAGTTCTTATATTGTGGGAATAAGTAAATAACTTTTCTGATTACTTTATTCACTTTTTCCATACCAGTCACGATTTTCTAGACTTCTATCATATCCCCCCTTATTCTCCTCTTTTCTAAGATGAAAAGTCCAAGTCTTTTTAATCTCTCTTCATATGGGACCCATTCCAAACCCCTAATAGTTTTTGTTGACCCTTTCTGAAACTTTTCCAATGCTAATGGAGCTTTTTTGAGATGAGGAGACCACATCTGTACACAGTATTCAAGATGTGGGCATACCATGGCTTTATAGAGGCAATAAGATATTATCTTGTTCTCTATCTCTTTGTTAATGATTCCAAACATTCTGTTTGCCTTTTTGACAGCTACTGCACACCGAATGGATGTTTTCAGAGAACTATCCACAATGATTCCAAGATCTCTCGAGTAGTCGCAGCTAAATTAGTCCCCATCATTTTGTATGTATAGTTGAGATTATTTTTTCCAATGTGCATTATTTTACATTTATCATTAAATTTTGATTGCCATTTTGTTCCCCAATCACTTAGTTTGGTAAGATCTTTTTAAAGATCTTCACAGTCTGCTTTGGTCTTAACTATTTTGAGCACTTTAATATTATCTACAAATTCTGCCACCTCCCTGTTTAACCCTTTCTCCAGGTCATTTATAAATAAGTTGAATAGGATTTTTCCTAATACGGACCCTGGGGGGATCCCACTAGTTACCTCTCTCCATTAGGGAAAGTTACCGTTTATTCCTACCCTTTGTTTCCTATCTTTTAACCAGTTATCAATCCACGAAAGGACCTTCCCTCATATCCCATGACAACTTACTTTGTATAAGAGCTTTTGGTGAGGGACCTTGTCAAAGGCTTTCTGGAAATCTAAGTACACTATATCCACTAGACCCTCCTTGTCCACGTTTGTTGACCCCCTCAAAGAACTCTAGCAGATTAGTAAGGCAGGATTTCTTTTACAGAAACCATGTTGACTTCCCCCCAACATATTATGTTCATCTATTTGTCTGACAATGTTATTCTTTACTATAGTCTCAACTAACTTGCCCGGTACTACTGACATTAGACTTATTGGTCTGTAATTGCCAGGATCACCTCTTGAGCTCTTTTTAAATATTGGCATCATGTTAGCTATCTTCCAGTCGTGGGCTGAGTCTAGATTGACAAGTTTTTCCGCAAAAGCAGGTGCTTTTGCGGAAAAACTTGCCCGCTGTCTACACTGTCCGCTTTGAATTTGCGCAAGAACACTGACGATCTAATGTACGATTGTCAGTGTTCTTCCGCAAATACGACTCTCCTGTTCGGGAAAAAGCCCTCTTGCACAAATGCTTTTGCGCAAGAGGGCCAGCATAGACAACTGAGAACCATTTTGCGCAAAAAAGCCCCGATGGTGAAAATGGCGATCGGGGCTTTCTTGCGCAAAACCACATCTAGATTGGCACGGACGCTTTTCCACAGAAAGTGATTTTGCGCAAAAGCGTCCGTGCCAATCTAGACACTCTTTTCCACAAATGCTTTTAACGGAAAAACTTTTCCATTAAAAGCATTTGCAGAAAATCATGCCAGTCTAGATGCAGCCATTAGGTACAGAAGCAGATTTAAAGGATAGGTTACAAACCACAGTAAATAGTTCTGCAATTTCACATTTGAGTTCTTTCAGAACTCTTGGGTGAATGCCCTCTGGTCCCGGTGACTTGTTACTGTTAAGTTTATCAATTTGTTCCAAAACTTCCTCTAATGACACCTCAGTCTGGGACAATTCCTCAGATTTTTCACCTAAAATGAATCGCTCAGGTTTAGGAATCTCCTCAATATCCTCAGCCGTGAAGTCTGAAGCACAGAATTCATTTAGCTTCTCTGCAGTGACTTTATCATCTTTTAGTGCTCCTTTAGCATCTCGATTATCCAAGGGCCCCAATGGTTGTTCAGCTAGCTTCTTGCTTCTGATGTACTTAAACATTTTGCTATTACTTTGAGTTTTTGGCTAGCTGTTCTTCAAACTCCTTTTTGGCTTTTCCTATTGTATTTTTACACTTCATTTGGCAGACAGATAAATAGTGACAAATTTTTGAAGTGCTTATATAGGAATGCTAGAAGTCTAAATAAAAAAAATGGGTGAACTAGAGTGCCTAGTTTCAAAGGAGGATATTGATATAATAGGCATCACAGAAACTTGGTGGAATAAGGACAATCAATGGGACACAGTCATACGAGGGTACAAAACATATCGGAAGGACGGAACAGGTTGTGCTGGTAGGGGAATGCCACTATATGTGAAAGAAAATGTAGAATCAAATGAAGTAAAAATCTTAAAATGAGCCAAAATGTTCCATAGAATCTCTATGGTAGTAATTCCACACTCCAATAACAAGACTATAGCAGTAGGAATATATTATCAACCACCTGCCCAGGACAGTGATAGTGACTATGAAATGCTAAGGGAGATTAGAGAGGCTATCAAAATAAAAACTCAACAACAGTGGGGGAATTTTCAGTTTGCAGTGGGCATTTGATTGCCCTTTGGGCCAGGTCACTCTGGCTGCTGTGGGCAGTGCTCTTGCTTCCAGCCTCCTGTGATAGCTGATGTGACGACATGGATGGGTCACCTGAGGATTCCCTGCTCTGTTCACTCCCTCACTTTGAAGGACCTGGCACTGACCACTGTCAGCAAACAGGATCCTGGGCTAGATGGACCCTTGGTCTGGCCCAGTCTAGCCACTCTGATGTTCTTATGACATCATTCTTGTGCCTACCCTGGGTGGTACAGAGCTGAGATGCACAATCTGCCTTAAGACGCGCCAAGGACATTGGTCAGCAGCAGCAGAACTGCTTCTGTTTCTAGGTTGGGGCAGGAGAACATCTCCTTTCTCCAGGGCCCCTCCATGCAAACTGACTGGCAGTGGAAGAGGGAAATAAAGACTCTTTCTTATTGGGTATTCGAGTCATTACTCAACTAATCACTCCACACACACACACACCCTCGCCTCTGTATCAGAGGCAGCAAGAGGGGGAGGAGAAGCCAGTCCTGGGGGGAGCTGGCTTAAAAGCTGGCTCCCCCAAGCATCGTCTCCGAAGGGGGATAGGGAAGGCAAAGGCGCAGTGGGGGACACGGTCCTCTGCTTTTTAATTGTAACAACAGCCTGGCACCTCTTACAGCATTTAAAAATGCAGAGCCACAGCGCGCCCCCATTATCATTGAATCCAGTAGTCAATGGAAATTTCATCGCTTACGATTCACTTACTAACTGCTATTTAACATCCATAATTTCTTCACTGTGCAGAGACAGGAAGAACTGGGAGTCTACCATGTCTATGCCAGGTCCTGCCCACTGTATTGGGGGAGGAAAGCACCAGCAGACAGGAACAGCCCTGCACTTCCTAGACCCCTGTATCTGGCTCCGGAAGCCTGCAGTTCCCTCTCCGGTTTTCAGAACCACTGCTTTAGTATCCAGCGTGCAAAGTGCCTTGCTCCGGGTGCGCTCGATACTGTACAGAAGAAGAGTGTCCCTGCCATGCAATGTGCACTGCAGTCTAAGCCCCTCAGTCATGCGCGGATGAGGGTTACTCAGGGTGCAAACACAAGGCAGCTCGGAGCTGTACACAGGGTCCAAGCCCAGAGCATGTGGCTCAGCAGTGTCCACTGGGGAACCCTGCTCCCCCTCCCAGCCCAGAGCATGCGGCTC